TTTGGGGCCGGAGCTGGTCGTATCTCGAAAAATTCGTAAGTAGGGGCGTTCATAAGTAGAGATACCACTGTACTTTAAAGTGTTACTTTAATTTTTTTTAAAAAAATTACTCTATGAATTACCAATATAAACATTTTTTTTAAAATAGTCATCTAATAGTAAAAGCTGCCAAACAAAAAAATACAATACATATAAAGTTTAAAAAAAAAAAACTGATGGAAATCTGTTTTATAGAAAAGCAGAAAATACCTATAAAATAAAATTCAATTCGGCAACAAAAATCAATAGTTTAAAGCATCATCAATGCCTTGGAAAAAAATGAAGCACATTGAAATACTGATCAGCAATAATTTACAGAAAAGCAACTATCAAATTTATACATAAAAGTGATATGCAAACAATTGCTCTGAATAAACATGCTTGCTTTTTAATTAAGTTGCATCAGTTGTTCCATTTTGGCAATGAAGATTTTGAAGTGGTGGATGGCGTCTGCCTTTTAGGATCAACCATCAACAGTAATGGAACCAGAAGTCAAGACTAGCACTGTGAAAATAGCCACAAAGGGCACCTAAACAGCATCACTTGCTCGGCATGGGGTAGAGATAGCATACTGATGATACCGAACCCCATGCTGGCAGATGACCTCTCCCAGCAGCTTCATACAGATATTAAATAGGAGGGGAGAGAGATCTGAGCCCTGAAGCATCCCACATAATAGGGGCCTAGGGCTGGACCTATCCTCCCCCACCAGCACTGACTGGTACCAGCCAGAGAGAAAGGAGGAGAATCACTGCAAAACAGTGCCCCCACTCCCAAGCCCTGGAGCTGGTCCAGCAAGATACCATGGTTGATGGTATCAAAAACTGCTGAGAGATCCAGAACGGCCAGGATGGACACACCATCCCCATCCCGAGCCCTCCAAAGATCATCCACAGACTGGCATTCCAGTCTCCAACCACAAGTAACACTGTTCTGTCAATTTCAGATTCAGTTTGAAATTAACCATATAACTCATAAAATTCCTCTTCTTCAGCACCAGTAATTAGAGCATAAATTTTAATAACTATTATATTAAAGTCTAATTGATATTTATTTATTTATTGTTTGGTCATTGACCACATCATACCCAAGAACTTTCCCTGCTATAGCTTTCCTGACTATGAAAGTAATACCGTTCTTTCTTTGTTTTTCATGCCGAGTTGTACGTACTTGAGTAACGAGATGTCCCAAAGACTTTAATCTTTAATCATGTCATAAACACCTTTAGTATTCTGAAAGATCCTCAGCTCTTCCTCAGCAGCACAATGAGTGCCATCTGACTTGAGAGGCCCATCATCTGGCACTATATCGGCAATCACTTTATGCTGTTTGTCCATGTGATTTTCATGGTAAATTCTAGGAGTGGTTTACCACTGTCTTCTTCCATACAGTATGGATGACTTTGCCATTGTCACTAAAATGATCATCTGCCTCCAGCATCTTCAAATATCACTGCTGTCCCATATAGGTGCCTGCTTGCTTTAGCTATGCAGCTGCGATGACCTTTATGCCTGGGGGACCTTTGTGGGAATAGATACTCTTGGTGTACACTCCCAGCATACTTTGCTCATTTCTCCCAGGAATACCCTCCCCTCATCATAATGAGGCAGTATAGCAGGATTTGAGGGAGGGAGAGTTGAGATAGGGAGTAGATGCTTAAAGTAGATTACAGTTATGATAAAGAAAATTAACTCTTTGTAAGTACTAAACAAAATTATACTAATGCCTTTTGTGTTCTCTGCAGTAATCAAAAGTATACTGTTGGATTACTAAACCAGACTACAATTAATATATTTTTAAAAAGGCATAGTGATGTCATTTGTAATCCACTAATTAAGAGCTAAATGGTTTCATACCGCATGATTAAACTTCTCAAATTGAAAGCAATCTTTGTTCCTTTCCCCCTTTTAAAAAAAAAACAATATGGCATAAAGGAATCTATGCTTTATATACAAAGTCATTCATGAGATGATCAGCAAAAATCCATCACAATTTGCTGAACTACACAAAACTGTAGCATTTAATTTAAATAATTTGCTACAGCAAACTTCCCCAAATATTGTTACCTCATTTCTTTATTAAAAATTTTGTAAGGGACCTCCGGAGGAGGCGTGGCGAATTAAACACATCTCTGAAAAGGTGGAGATGACAACTGCAGAAAAGACTAAAGAACCAGAGTAGATCAGTTCTTCAGAATCTCTCTGGACAAGGAGAGGATGGGAAATTACCCACCTGCTTTGGACAGCTGCTCCTCATGAGGAGACTGCAGGACAGGTGCCTCCTGTGGGTTTGAGCACTGGGAGACGAAAGGATCAAGCCATCATTCTCACAACTGCGGCAGAGTCTTTTAAAGGACTCTGAGTTTGCTAACGTCACTTTCTAATCACTTTCGGAAATTGCTTATTTAACCAACCTAAGGCTATTAGAGGTCTTCAGAACGACAAGTTTGAAAAGTCACCTGGTGAGTTTACCTTCTTTCTTGAACAAAGGAAAAATTAACCATAAATTTAAGAACTTAAAGAATTGGAAATAATCGGCAAAGATTTTGATCTAAGTAAGTTATAAACTAATAAAGGGTACAGACAAATTTGAAATATTGAGACTTTTACTTTAAGATTTGGGAAATAATTAAATAAAATAAACAGCATTTAATGGGAACCAAATTGTTTTGTCTATCTTAAGTCATAATAGAGATCTGAGACTTTATGATTTCAGAAATTGGACACTAGAGAGGACTAAAGATTCTAGGTAGAAAAGGAAAAGGAAAAAAAGTGTAAGCTTGCCTTTGGTTTTTGGTTAATACTGGGATTTACAAAATGACACAAAATGTTATGACATTTGAAATACTCCAGGAGATTTTCAAAGAATAGGGTCAGAAATTAGTAGCTACAATGTCAGCAATGTCAACAATGATGTCTGTTTCCATGGATAGACTATGCCCAAAAGATGCTAATGAAGGAATGACAGATGCAAAACAAATTTTATCTGATGCAGAAGTAGTAGAATCAGAAATACTGGATAACAAAAAAAGTGTGGATTACAAGATAGAGAAGGCAGCTAAAGTGAAAACACAAATGGCAAGCCAAGAAAATGACCCTGATAAGGACTTTCTACTAGATACACAAAATAAGTTAGTTAAAGCTTTGAAAATCAAAGTAGAATTATAAATGATAAATCAAGAGAATGATCTGAATAATAACTTTTTACTGGATTTACAAAAGAGGTTTGCTAAAGCCTCAAAGAAGCCTTTGGGATGGGAAAAAAGAAAAACTGAAGAGAGACCAAATCCTACAACATCTGAATGAATTAAACACCAAGACTGTAGAAGTAACAGGAAGGAATATAAAGCTGGTTTGTTTGACCAAGGTTAAAATAAGATATGTTTTTATAAAGCTCTGGTAATCCTTTAAAGGACTTTTTGCTGACACCAGGACTGAAAAGTTGATGATTTATGAATTTGCATATAGATAAGGGATGGGTTATGGAAAGAAGAGATATTTGTAACCTTATGGGGGTAAAGAGTTATCAAATTTGTTCATGCTTGTTGTGGTGAAGATCTTCTTTCTTTTCTTTTTCTTTATCTTACTTCTTTTTCTTTCTTTGCACTTTTTATTCTTTCTCTCTACTTCTCTTTCCTTCTCTGAGTTTACTTTGTATTTGCTTTTACTACTATAATAAAATGATAAAGAAAAAAAATTGGAAGAAATTCTAAGATTGTATTCCTATGATACAGGTAATGTCCAACTGAATTCAGTAAGGCTTACTTCTGGACGACATACTTATAATAATAAATAGTGAAAATGCAGCAGAGCTGATTGAGAGACTCAAGAAGTGCTAAAGAAATTAAGGGCGCAAAGACTAAATACAGGAATAGTCTCTTTAAAATGCATATATTCTTCGGTGATTATGTCAATCTGCGTGCATGTGCATGCATTTTTGTTATCTGCATTTTTAAATTTAAATAAAAATAAAATTCTGTAGTGAAGCAGATTTCAATCCAACCCACAGAAATAAGATTAATTAACATAAAAATAATTTACAACAAATAGGATTTGTTGCACCGAAGTTCAAATTTTCAACCTCAGTATGAAGCCTAATCCAATCCAAACAGTTCACACCAAGAAGGTGCATTCTAAGTCATAGTTATTATTTCTATTATTTAGTAAACATGCACACTATAGCATTCCACTTTATTTCTCATGTTCCTTGTATCAAAGAAGAAAAATGATTTTAGCCCACTTAGGGATATCTCAACCTCTTAATCCTAGCTGAACACTCCAAGCGCAACTCTAACCTGTTCCACCCTTACTGCAAGAATGTAATTCCAACACCACCAACAAACATACCTTCACAAACATTTTAAATCAGGATTTCAGTTTATTATAAACTGTTATGGCATCTATAGAAAAGATTTCTATTATAAGTTTGTTTTTAATTAATCCACCTACAATATGCATATTACTAATTCCTGAAAATCTTAGACCAGGAGGGATGAGGAAAGAAAAACTGATAGGAACACAGGAATCAAGTAAGAAAGAAAAAATTTAAAAGAATGAATATAAATGTAATGGTTCCAGATAGAGGGGGAGCTAGAATCTCATCAGGCTATATGGAAGAAATACTACATTGATACTAAAGCATTTTCCAAATGAGCATTGGATCAAATATTAATATAGCAGATACATGCTGTACCTTTTTCAGATTCTGCTGGTTCCGCTGCATTCTCACCACTCATCAGAACAACAAAGCGTGCATCTGCTCGGACTGTAGCTTGCCATGTTGACATGGCAACAGGCGGTTCTTGGCATGGAAAAAGGGCCCTGTTGTTTATTGGAGATCCCACTGTATAAACACATGGTCTGTAGGGAACAGAGAAGGATAAGGAAGTAATGTGTACTATACAACTAATTACAAGGAAAACAAAATTGCCAACAGGAGCAGTAATTCAAACTACTAATGCCACTCAATACATCTGGTCTCAATCTAGCCTGAAAAGAAAGGATCATACTGGAGGATATTCACTTCTTGAACCTTAAGTGAAATTTGTATAAATTCTGGCTTGCTCCTTGATGTCTCTGGAGACCTGAGAAGACAGAAACATATTGTACTTGAACTTATATGAGGTTATTCTGACCCAAATAGTGTCATAGACTGGTTTTGAAAAAAGTCCCTGAATTGATCAGAAATTTGTCATAACCAGGAAAAGCCTACCATATGGAATCTGAGTCTGCAGATTTACAGAGTGGATCCATGACTGCATCTAGCATTAATGCATGGTATAGCATTAGGAGGGTAGACTGTAGCAATCTTCAGGCCTATTTGTGACCTCTTTTCTTCTCCTCCGGCACAGCAATAAGGAAATCAGAAGCTTCCATTTCCATTTAAGGATAGCATATCATTTAAAATTTAAACAATGATAAATCCTAACTATGGTTAATTAGATTTTAGGTTAGAAGTGTTCAAAACCATCCTCTTGAAGTTGAACAGCAGAGAAAGGAAAAGGAGGCTGTAGATAAATCCAAGGCTTGCTTTTATAAATCTAAGGTTAACAACTGTATAGAAACTAATCCTATATCCATGTGTTTTTTCCCACAAAAGTAAGGGTAAGTTAAATCCCCAAGTGTTCTTTGCTTTTCCCACAGTAGCAAATGGCAGCTGTTCACATCTGTGGCTAAAAAAACAAAAAGGCTTGTACTTAAGGACTACACCAGAATAATGGCTAGACTTACCCCATCCTGTGGCAATTTTAGTGTTTGAGTAGCAAGTAGATTCCTCCCCCACCCCATCCTTTCTACTGTGTCCTTAACTGTGGCAGAAAACTACTGAGCTCTCTTGAGGCACCACTGGCAAGTATGTCAGCCTTTGTCTGTACTGTATAGTTCTGTCCCTTCTTTCATCTGCAGACCTTACTCTAAATTCAAGTTTTGAATTATCATTACACTAGCTGGTAATTCTGAGAATGTAGCATTAACACATTTGGAAGGTATCCAGTTCAGGATGGCTACCCTAAAATATGACTACAAGAGACCAAGAACTGTCCCTGTACGTAAGTCAGCAAAAGCTCCTTGATATAATTAACTTTTGGTCGCATCCCTCTCCCAAGAGACTCTTTAAATCCCCAATCAGTAATTCCATCCATTAAAACAAAATATTACATTAAATATTTAGTAAACTGCACAGCTTGATGACCTTTTCTTTCTATCTTCTAAAGATTTTTATTGCAATAGCCCAGCAGGCCCTATTCTTTTTATTAAGATGTTTACTGAAGGGAAAGGAAGCACAGCCAGCCCACCTGTTACCTGACACATGCCATTATCCACTCCCACACAGAGATTTTAACAGTAGAACTAAAAATAATCACAAGAGTGCCAGAGAACATTTAAAATGATGAAAGCAATTGTCATGCTCCTTTTCCCAAGTGCCTCTCACGAATTTTAGGATAAAACATATGGGCTACATTGGTCTATTTATATAAGAAACTGGAAAGACTATATGAGTTGGTTGCTTGTTCTACATAGAGCACTGACTCTGTTTTGCTGATGTCTTTTAATTGAAGGTATTGTCACTCTCAAACCTGATAAAATAATGGTAGTGGGAGAGGATGATGTTGATTGCTTTGGTTTTGCTGCTGTAGATATTTATGAACCCTATTCAAGTGATTGCAGTCAGCACAGTTAACCTTATGCAATGTTTGAAATGTTTACATAAACCCCATAGTAGCATAACAATAGAACTACAGTTTATGCTTGGTGTAGTACCTACAAAGCTAAGAATATCAAGAAGAAAGTGCAGGTGCTATCTAACTACTAAACGAATGATGTTGATGACAAATAGATATTTCTCCTATGTGTTGAATCCAGTACCTGTCACAGTTGTCTGTTTCAACTACTGTTTGTTTGTTTTGGGGGGATGAAATCATCTCACTGATTAATATGTAAATTAGATGGCTGATAGCCAGTTAACATACACTACCACTCTATCCATATTTGTGGACCTGGGGTGAAAAATAAGGGAGCAAAAGGCTTGTTCAGAATCCTTATTGTTTCTTACGGCTAGAACACTCAGATTCTCCATCCTGGCACCTATGATCTGGAACATCTCCTCCTTTAGACTGGGCCCCTCAGTAATGATCTTTTGGACACTGGGAAAAAATGAACTCTTTCAAGGAATCTTCGGGCAATGATTGACATTGGCTGATCATCCTTGGTTTTGCATATTATATTTTTATTTAGTTAGTTATCAATATTGGTACTGATACTTTATTATTGTTTATTTTTGCATATTTGGGATTTCTGTGCTGTGGATGGTTCATTGTTGTGCATGATTTGTTTTATGCTGCCATGAGTCTGTTGGGAATCAACAGCATATAAATGTAATAAATAGTGGTCATAATAATAATAATTGTTTTGGATTTTGTTTTAGCAGAACATGGAGCACTTAGTTCCACTGGAACACTGCTTAATCAGAAAGTTCCAATGCAACAATTCAGGTAGACTGTTCTGTTCTCGGCAAAAAACTAATGCACTTCTCATTTCATGCATAACCCTTATTTATTTGCCACTTTAAGCCCCCAAAGCAATCTAAAGCAATGGGAATCATATTATACTAATAGTATTTCCAAACAAGTGCTTTAGCGCAAATTGTAATAATAGCACATATGAGAACATTAGTATAAAAGTTTATACTTTCATTTAACAGCATACCAACTTACTAGAATAGAACACAAAAGTACTCAACTACTAACAGTCCTCTATTATTTTATATCCCTACAACAGGAATTTAGAGTTTCTCTTTCTCACACTTTCCAACAATTATAGCAACTCATATAAGCTATGGGAAGAGAGCAGATAAATGTAATGTTGATGTAGAAGGCATCATTTCCATATATCTTATCAAACTTTCTCAAGATAGGAGTATCATTAGACCAAATTTATGCCTTTCTTTTCCCATAGTAGCTTGGGCTGCTTTGCATTTGGGACAGGAGCTGAGTTTTTAAATCTCCACTGGCATGGAAGAAGACAAAAAGAAGGCAATGGAAAGACTGTAACAGCACACACATCAAGTGATCAAATGTACAGGCAAGATATATTCCAAGTTTAACTTCTACAATAAAAGTACATTTTAGGATCAGATGGTGATGAAAAAACAGGAAAATATACAGGGCAGCACTGTGGCATAATGCAATTAACTAGGACAAGCATAGGCATTTTCTTCTGGTCATTTCAGAAATACACTGACCAATCTACAACAAATGAGCATATCTAAGCAGAGAATTATAACCATCTGGAAATCCAAGATAACCCTAGCTTGAGCTAAAATGTGGGGGGGGGGATCATAATGTTAATCTGAAGAATGAAACAAAATTGTCTTTTTATCCCAGAGACTGAAGTAACAATTAAAATATGCTCATTATAATTCAGTACAATTATCATATATATTCAGGGCCAAATGAGAAACTGCAATAGCTGATTTATAATCATATCTTAATGTGTTTTTGAAAGGGTAAACATCATTGAAGAGAAATTTATATCAGAACTGGGGAAAAGGCATCCCAGCTAGCCACAATGATAGAAAAATGCTGGCATTCACACAATGATTTCATGATGTACAGCCCACCCTTACGTGCATACCAATATATGACGCAAGTACATAAGTTGCAGGGTTTGCATCATGATATTACGATGCATGTTTCATCCCTTGCCTCCTCACTGCCCTCCTATGGACACCTACAGGTGGTTAAATCTTCCTCTCTTTAATACCATTTTCCCAGTCTGAGCTTCCTCATCTCATCTTGGAGCTGCTATTTGCCCATGAAGCAAATAGATGGGTATCACATATAGACCTACAGTATCCATTCTTATAGGACAAGCAATACTGGCGTGGAGAGAAAACGTGCACAGAGAGGGAGAATCATCTAGATGTTTCTCCTGAGCACTGCTTTGACCCTTTATGAGCATAAAGTTAGGTATCCCCTACAATCTTGTACAGTTCCCCCCCCATTTAGAAAAAAAAGCAGACTATTTATATATTTAACAATCCAGGTATTAGGCAATTAAAAGACTATAAAATGAATTTGTTCCTGACAAAAGATTTTATATTCTGTATTACATGGCAGCAATAGGAATCAAGTCAAGAGCTGGCAAATGAGTAGCCTGGATGCAATTAAGATGAGCAAGATGGCAATAATGAAGTAGGCAAGAAGTGTGATACCTATATACTACATAAAATATATTGGCCTTTCTTGACTCAGAGCCTGGGGGTGATGGTACTCTAACTCTACTAGAGGATATCTTTCAGGTAAGCTAATATGCTACAAAATTATAGTTGGCATTGAAAAACGAAGCCCCATTGAAAGAATTAAAACATACAAAATTGCTCTTTCATTAAACAATAGAATTATGTTCTGATCATTCAAACTTCCCATTCATTTTACATTTACTACAACATGATTTTAATGCAAGTTCTAGTATCTTTAAACGTTTGATTTTTTAAAAAGTAAAGTGAAACTGCTTTAGAGAATTTTGTCTGTGTCTTATCTAAACTATACCACAATTTAATATTTTGAATATTTTGGTTTAAGAAATGCATTTGTTTGATTCAGACTTACAGTGATATAATCCTCTAAGCTATCACAAGCTCTGAACTTTATCAGTTGTGCTACTCATTCATTTAAATTCATTATGAATGAGAGCATCATTCATAATTCAGCTGTGTCCCATCTGGAACATAACACCAAAAGGTACCAAACACACTCAGAACTGCTTACCTGTCACTTTGATCTGTAGTCCAGCTAAGTGATTGTCCTTCTGGCTTTGTTTTGTACCATATTCTTATGGCACGAGGGAAGTCCTTCGGCAGCTTGATCCCTGTTTTCCTGATTTTCAAGCTCCAAGTATCTGTAATAAACAGAAGCTCACCAGAAGCAGGTGCCTCGCTGCAATGCTTGTAATATTGAAGCTGCTCTCTCCAATGATTTGTAGGTAATGTCACAAGTTCATGCACAATTTGATTTCTAAGATTTCCAGGATCCTTAGAAGCATCCATTAACTTGGCAGAGCTTGTACATTTCTCAATGCCTGGAACAACAGCAACATCCACCTCCTCGACCTTTAACACAGATAAATCACAGCAGTCTAGGACCAGCAAAAAATCTTCACTCCCATGAATCTCAATGTCACAGCAGTTCTTTGAACTAGAAATCCCAGAAGCCTGTTCCCTGTTGCCATGACTACCGTTTTTATCAGAAGTATCATTTTCACCTTTACCACAGACAGCAAAATCATTACATCCACTTTTAGTTGTGCAGGCACTTGCATCTGGCACAATAACTGAGCAGGCTTCAGGTGTCAGAACATGGCAAGTTTCATCAGACCAAAAAGGACTGGCTTCTTCCATCTGCTTACTGTCTCCTTTTCCATATCTTCTGACAGGATCAAGGAAAAGAACTATGGTGCCTTCTATAACATGGTTTCTAAAATCCACATCCAGGTCTAAAACGTAATGTTTTACCAACATGTGGTTAGTATTGGCCATCAATGGCAGATCATCTGTGGTGATATCTAGCTCCATCTTTGTATATGTCTTCTATGCAAAGAAATCTTGCTAAATCTTGCTGTTTCCTATATAGTCTCTGCAGCAGAAAAAAAATAGTCAGTATGCCAAGTTTTCCACCTTTATAAAAACCTGTTATATACAATAATATATGTGCATATACAATGTGTATTATTGTATATGCACGTGGATCCCAGTGACAAAAAAAGTAAAGTGTTGATTTAAATAAGGGCTACAAAAGAGGGAGCAATGCACACTGGAATGTATTTTTTATGAGAAATAATCCTTTTTAATATTAAAAAGCTCTAATATTAAGTTCGTTATTCAGTAATTCATAACAAGGCAACTGCAGAAAAATTAACTTTGCAAACAAAACTAATGTCATCTACATAGCTATCAGAAAACAAAATCAGTGAATCAGTACTGTATTTCTGTATAATGTTAACCATTAAAAGAATCTTCAACAATATAGTAGAACCAGCATTAATTTATTGCAGCAGTTCAGCTGATATGATCCCTTGTCTAATTTTCAAGAAGTTATCTTATTGTGTGTAATTTCTCATCTTAGAGTATGATTTTGGGGGAGTGTGGTGTATGGCTTCAAGTCAGTCTTGACTCCTGACAACTACATGGACAAGCCTATGCAGTCTCTTGGCAACATTTTTGGAAGTGGTTTGTCATTGCCTTTTTTTTTTTTTGAATGTAAGTAGTAAGCATGATTATAGCTTACATCATTATAGCTATGTTCTCATATTGTTTCCCATTGTTAAATTACAAGAAAAGGAGTCATTTTACAAGTAGAGAATTCTAAATATTCTTTTGAGATTGTACTTGAAGATTTTTGAAATGTATAGCTAACTATCCCTGATATATAATTCCTTCTAATAGTGAGAACCCCATTTACATCCGGATTAGTGGTATCTCACAAGAAAAAAAGGACTTGCATTCAATGTTAATATTTACCTACCTAAGGGAGAACAACTGTTGATGACATTTACTCCACAATTAAAAAGAATTAATGAGCTACTGTTATCCATTAGTTTTTAACCAGTACTGAATTCTTTTTTTGTCCTCTTATTAAGAAGAGAAAAGGGGGAGGGGTGAAGTCTAGAAAAAGCAATACTGTATGATAGTCTATACTCTCTAAACTTCCTGGAACTGAATTCCCCATAATCCTTAATTAGTTTTTGGTTATGCTTTCTGGGGTTATAGGTATTTAATCCCAACACATCTGAAGAACACAGCATTAAGAAACGCTGTCTTAGTATGAATTAGGTTTTGAATATTTCTACGCCTTGCTTCTCAAAATGAAGATTTGGAATTCAGATTTCACTATTTCTTTTTTAAAATCCAAACAATAACATAATTTTCTGTTACTGAATTGATATCAAAACTTTGTTTAGAAGTTAATCAGATAAAAATGTACTTTTAGGGACCAGCATACTTTACATTACTATACACTATGTTCTGGCTTGCCTGAGGTGAAATTGAATAAAAAGCAGACCATATGATTTTTGTAGTGGTTGGTGACTTTATTTTCAAATCACTACCAAATTGCATGTGTTCCAGTTTTAGAAATCAAATGTGTGGGAGTGAAGTATAGACCAGTTGAGCAACTGAAAATCATTTGTGAAAAGGAGATTCTTGGTTCGCCTTTCATTTCTTTCAGCCATTTTTAAGCCTAATTTTCAATGTGCATCTAAGAAGCGCATGACACTTCACATTCCTATACTGCAATTATAACACTGCGTATTATGAACATGAGAGATTTCACGTTGCATACTTTAACAAGTAATCACAAAGCAGCAATTACCTGCAGAAGAAAAGAACATCAATGGCCTCAGAAACAAAAGGGTCTCCACTGCAGATCCATCCAGCAGAGAACTGATTAGTTACCAATACTATGGAAATCCTTTAAAAAGAGGTGCTTCAGAACACTGCGAAACAAAGTCTTTGAAAGCGAACAGTTGAAGGCAGCTTCCATAGTAGCAGCACAAGCCTAGAAAAAGATCAAGCTGCTTTTACAATTTGAAAAAGATGCTTCATATGCATTTCCACTGAATCCAAAGGAACTTCTCCCAAAGAATTTGTGCAGCCCTGTTCCTTAGCATATCAATAAAGAAATGTATCCATGTCAACCAATGTTCTGCTATACTTCAGGAAGGGTAAGAAACTGTAGCATTCTCAGTTGCTCAAAGACACCTTTCCTACAGAGCACTGCTACTTTAAGTCAGAAATAAGCTATAAACCTTGTGATCACTAAACTCAGCTTTCACTGAGTTTCATTAGTTCACACATCCTAGTACAGTATTTGTTTCTTTTCTCTTAGCCACAGTTCTCTGAGCAAAGCATGATGGCTGGATTCACAGTTAATACAAGCCATATACCACTACTTATAAAATGATAGTGGCTGAGTTCACACACTAAACCAAAACCACAGAAATGCGTATATGGTAATACTTAGTGATTGTATAAAGATATGACATAAACTTTCCATCCAAACAGTTTAGAATTTTAGCAAGCATGGAAAATATATTAGGAATACCAGCAGCCATCGGTCCCCCATGTTCACAACAAGAAGCCAAGCATGCAGACCAAGGGCCCACACTGATTTTTACTGGCCATGGAAACCAGCGTGGGCTAAAACACACTAAAAGCATGTGTGCTCATTCAAGGGCTGAGCATTCTGAAACATGTAACCAATAATTTAAATTAAAGCCAGGTGGCCATGACCTGCAAGTATTTTGAAATACACACACACAGACATATACAAATATATATTACAAGAATCCTCAGACTTGGAAAGCTTCGGTGTCTGTTTTCCAAAGCTATGATCTATGTGCATGGGTAGTTTCAATGCAATTAGTTTGGTTTTTCTAATAATTATCATCTACTATGAATGAATGAACATTACAAAACCATATCTAGTTAGAATTGCATTATATTATTCATTTGATGAAAGCAAAATCTACTGGCAGTTCATTTTAAGAGAATGTAATCTTGTTAAATTGATCTAAGAGCAGGAAATGGATTGCAGTAATTCTACACCTTCCTCACTTACTCCTTGATTCACAGCTGCCAATGTTATGGAATATATTCATACGTATTGTCATTGTAACAGATATTAGCCATATTCAAAAATATAAGTGGAATGCAGGTTTTACAAAGAATGCAAGATTCAGCATATAAATCAATAATACATTTGAATATATTGCTAGATAATTATTTCATAACTAAAATAATTATAAGCATTCACACAGTTAAGAAGCAAGCTAACTGTCTCATAGAAAGAAGTGTGACCATATTTTGATCAGCAACAAAGTCAATTGCCTTAAATACTGTACCAATATCTATATTCTGGAAACACTAAGGCCTCATTCATGCAACATGCTAAAATGTAATGTGTTCTGTTTAGTTTTGACTTAGGATATTGTAAAAATCCAGCCATCATGATTTGTAAGCTATGGTATATGCCTTAGAATTTTGTGTGAACCCAGTCAACTGTGGTTTATGCAATAATCAATGGTTTAAAAAATCATATTAGTGTGAAGTTTGAATTGGTGTAATTTTCATCACAATATAACTACTACATAGGGAATTAACAACAGATAGGTAATATGAATATAAGAAAAGAGACTGCAAAAGTGAGGAATGGGTAATTAAAATATATAGTATAAGAATTCAATAAGAAAAAAGGGAAATATTGATGACCTGGAAGTTAAGAAATACAAGAAAATTAAAAATTGAGCTGAAAATCATATGAAATGTAGAAATATTACTCTACTTAATTTATTATTCAGCAATACCAGGTAGTAGTTCAGCAGCACTAGATATCCATGGATTTTATTTCAACCATTTCTGGCAACCAACAATTGAAATCAGATTTAAAAGAAACATTAAAAGTAGGTAGCTATAAAACCACTTTGAAAAAAACAAAGATATCGTATTGTCAAATTAGCTGACATATGCTGTAAGGAACTGCAGCAAACATCAGATCTCATAACAACGTTATATAGCTGCTTAATATTATATATATTATATAGCTGATAGCAGCAGTGGACTCAAAACTACAATTGACAATGCTAATGGGAATTCTTGGTGATAGCCCTAGCAAATATGGCAAGCATCGGATTGGAGAAGCTGGTTTATACTACTGTTAGGAATTCTTCAAGCTTTAAGGAAGGACGTTCTCCTACCTGGAGATATTATGGCATTAACTGGGACTTTACCCATACAAAGAACAAGCTGTACCACTGAGCTATGTCCATTCCCAAACACAAATGGGAAAAATATTGTTGGGATCAGAAAAGCAAATGTATAAATGTCACATACATACACACACACATACTCCTTTATATATATACTGAACTACACAACCAAGTAGCTGGCATTGTGTACAGGAACATCTACACAGTGTATGGGCTAGACCCTCCCAAGTCCAGATGGGAGATTCCATAGAAGGTCGTGGAGAATAATATGGCTCAGATCCTGTGAGACTTCCAGATCCAGACAGACAGGCAGGTACTGGCCAATCAACCAGACACTGTGGTAGTAGTAAAGGACCAGAAGACAGCAGCAGTGATAGATGGAGCAGTGCCAAGTGACAGCAACATCAGGAAGAAGGTGTATGAGAAGCTGGAGAAATACCAGGCCTGAAGGAAGAACTAGAGAGGAAGTGGAAAGTAAAGGCCAAAGTAGTTCCAGTGGTGGTAGGAGCACTCAGGGCGGTGACTCCTAAGCTGAGAGAGTGGCTCCAACAGATCCCAGAAACAACATCAGAGCTCTCTGTCCAGAAGAGTACAATGCTAGGAACAGCTAAGATACTGTGCAGAACCATCAAACTCCCAGGCCTCTGGTAGAGGACCTGAGATTGAGGAAGACACATACCACCCATAGGGTGAGAGGGGAGTTTTATATATATACAATACTTTGCAAAAGTTTTAGGCAGGTGTGAAAAAATGCTGTAAAGTAAGAATGCTTTCAAAAATATATATTGTACTGTAATTGTTTATGTTTATCAATTTACAAAATGCAAAGTGAGCAAACAGAAGAGAAC